AAAAAACACCTAACTCGGATTACGTGGCCGAATGCCATTGGCTGCAGATGTATGTATGTATGTGATTCATGATGGCATGGCATGTTGTTTTTCCCGCGCGACCGCATGCAGGTTTTCCCCCAAAAAGAGGCCTAAAACCAAAACCAATTAGAGAGAGAAAGGAAGAGAAGATAGATAGGGTTCGAAATCACAGAGAGAAGAGAGAGAGAGAGAGAGAGGGCTCTGCTTTGGAACGCCGTCGTTTTGTGTGTTACATTGACAGATCTACTGCTGTCTCAGAGCTCAGGGTAAGAGATCAGATAGATAGATCTCCACGGGTTTCACCTCGAAAGCAACTTCGTATGCTTTTTCTTTTTTCTTTTTTATTTATTTTTAAAGATGCAATTTTTGGGTCTCGTTTTCTTTTTGTCATGCTTTTTGTGCTTGTTGATGGTTGTTGGGCTGTTTATTCTTTTAAATGTTACTTTTTTTTTGCTTTTTGGAGTATAAACTTGGCTTGAATTTTTCTGAAGAGAGAGATCAACAAAATCACTTGCTAAACGGGTCGGGCACAGTGAGAATTTGGGTTTGGGTTTTGGAAATTTGCGTTTTTTTCTTGGCATGGATGTGGGGATTTTGGGTGGTTTTTAATAGTGGGGTTTTGCAATTCATTTACTTGCATCCTGTAATTCACGTAAAAACCTTTCAATTTTCTTTTGTTTTTATAAGAAATTGTCGCTTGAAATGAACTTCTTTTTTTTGGTAATTTTAATTTTTGGCTTGGTTCAGCTAGGGTTTAGATGAGTCCACCTGCTATGGTGAAGATGGAAGATACTGAAGTTTCAGCTTCCAACAGCTCAAATTCCGAAAGCAGAGATTCAGACCCCGTCCGAGCTCGATTTACTGATTTGTGCAAGGTTGCCACTTTTTACTGTAATCGAATTTATCCTTTTGTTGTTTCTTATTATAAATGTCATTTTGTTTGTAACGTTTAGTTTATAAACTATACTTTCGTTTACTTTTAGAATTTCTTTCTTTGTTTCCATTGTCATTTCTTGACTTTAGTTCCTGTGAATATATGGTTTCTAATTTCAGAATGGATTGTCGTTGGATGAGAATCCTTACACACAAGCTATGAAGTTGTTCAAAGAAACGAAACATCTATTAATAACAAATGCTTCGGCTATTGGAAATGGAACAGTACGTGTTTTCATCATTTTCCCATTGTATAGCCATTATCTGTATTATGTTGAAATAAGGTCTGAGGTGATATCTTTTTGGATAGTTTTGCTGGAAGACTTGCTTAAATCTGAATTCGTTGTAACTTAAATGCATTTTTCTGTACAGCCTGAAGAAGCAGAAAGGTTCTGGTTTGCCTTTGTTTTGTACTCCGTGAAAACATTGAGTGAGAAGAATTCAGACAATTCTCAGCTGAGCTCTGATGATAATGGTTTTTCTCTCTTCCAAATTTTGAGAGCTGTGAAGCTGAAGTATGTTGTTTGCCAATCTGTTTTTTTGCTTTAGCTTACAATTAGCTTCTCGTCAATTCTTGTCATCTTATCTTCTTTTTTTTTGGGTGTTTTACAGCATTGTAGATTTTTTCAAGGAGCTTCCTCAGTTTGTTGTTAAGGCCGGCCCAATTTTGAGTAATCTTTATGGCATAGATTGGGAAAACAAACTTGAGGTATTGACTTGTCAGAGAGTTAGCTTATGCTTGTAAAGACTGTGTTGTTATTTCTTTGGACTTTCTGTTTCCATGAAGTTACTTGATCCCTTGCTCATGAGTTTGACTTCTTAATTTATTAGGCAAAAGAGTTGCAGGCAAATTTTGTGTACTTGAGCCTGTTAAGCAAGTGAGTGTCCTTTCATCTGCACCATTGTGCCTGATGTATTATTATGTCTGATGGTTTAAGAATTTCTCCTCTCTTAAAATTTTGCATTATCGTGTGTAAGATCTCTATACTTAGGATGAAAC